GAAAACTGGTCTTTAAGGTGTTTAAGGAAAACATTAAAGACTACGAGCCTTGAATTAATTTGCAAGAGTTAGCAATGCTGAGAGTAAAGATTCCACAAGCTGCCTCAAAATATGCAGTGTCACCTAAGAATTTCAAAATAAAACCAGAAATATGAAGACAAAACAAACAGTGCTAGAAGACTAAAATCTAAAATTGAAATCACTTCTTCTTCCAGTCAATGATGGATCTAAGACAGGGTCTTAACTGCAAGCATTTGATCTTTTACCATCACTCAAGCCAGACTCTCACTGCAATTACATTTCACTTCACATACACATGAAACTGGTTTTTTCCTTTTTTTTTTTTTAAGGATCTTAATTAAATATACAAAGATACTTGCAACTCTAATCCCTTATTTCTCAACGTGTTAATTTTCCATATGAAATTATGATTCCTGTTTGCTAAAAGGAACACAGGATATTGAAACATTTCATTCGTGGATGTTGTGACTACCATTGAAGACTTGTACACATACTTTATGTACATATTATAGACATGAACTTCATAAAAGCATCTCCCATTCATTACCAACAGAGATTTCAGTTTGACTTTCCTTCACGAAACAGCTGCAGACACACACATGCACTTCAACCTGCATATACAAGAGCTATGCAGCTTTTTCTGACATAAGCCAAGATACAGTAATACCTAATGCTGGTCAGAGTTTCATTTTTCTAATGATCACTGCATAAGGCTTACTTCTGTAAATACCTGCCATTGGAAACATATAAACACTCTAATTCAGTTATGTTTATTGGTACTCTTTGTATGTAAATAGGTTGCTGATTATTGCAGTTCTTATTCCCATTACATGATTTTTGAACATGAAACTGTTGAAGCTAGGAAAGCGAAACCAAGCTGTGAAGTGTCAAACAGAAGCAGACACATGGAGAAAGACCTGCTTTCCTTGAATTAGCTCATTTTTATACTACAAACCATCATCACGCATTTATTTTATTGGTTCAAAGATTTCAATAGTATACGACATGTTTTTTCTTCACTTGTTACATTTCCTAACAGTATCTACCATTGCTAAAAAGGAGTGTAAATAAGTCATACAGAGCTTCGGGCTTTATTAGTAATTAATTGTTACGCAGAAGTGCAGAGACCCACCCTATTCAAGTGAAAATCCTGATGAGATCTGAGAGTTGGTGTGAGATAAAATGGACTGAGTAAAGATCACGGAAGTATACTTTATACAAAAGTGCCATTTAAAAGCTGTGCAACTATACAACAGATTTGTTGTACGAACAGACAAAAAAGTCAGTGAAGAATTCCCACCCCTCTTAGCTTCCTCAAGTGATTTGCACAGTTCTATCAAACATGATGCAAATAAACTCTGACGCAACTCTATTGCAAATTGGCAAAAGATAATATATGGAGAGCACAGAATTGTCCATATCACAGCTTAGAATTTTATTGCTTTAGTAACAAAATATCTCTGCATTATCAGATCATTATATAGAATTTTCAGTTAAAACAAAGAACGATTAACGCTTCACTTGCAGCACAAGTTAAGGTAAATACTACTACATTGTGAATTTTAGAAAACACAAACAGGCATGCCTAAATCAGAGTAAACTTTCATATTCAAGCATCTCAAGATCTTCACTTGCATTAACAACCCAGTGTGGAAATTACTGCTAATGGGGTTGCAAAGAGAAACATATTGCCATGCCCTCCTTGAATATCACAGTGATTAAAATAAAAGTCATGTTCTCTAACAAACACAGGAGCCTACAATCTTAACTGTAACTTCTTTAAAACATCTGTATGTATTGACGTGGCTAAAAATTTAAGACAGAACTCTTTCAAGAGAAAATAACCAATGTGATTTCTAGTTTTTTCAGTACTAGGCAAAGTAGCTATCTCCTTAAGAACAGTCACCAAAGAGCTTGGTTTTACTGTTCTTTTGCGTTGTTTGTTTTTTTGTGTGTGTGCACGCAATTATGTTATACTGAGGTTATTAGATTGTCTTTTTACTGAACTTTTTCTTCTACTTTTTCTCCCCGTTCCTGATTGGTAGTACATGCATGTTTACATCTTTAACAGAATGGGGAAGATTAGTCTTCCTACAAGACTTTCTTCTCTTATGAAGTAGATCTACTGGGAAGAACCTACTCAATTAAGTCACAAGTTGACAGTTTATAATTCTAAAACCAAAGCAGTAACTAAGACAATATCGCTTGATAGAAGCAAAGAAATAGCCATTGTTTTTTAGTTCTGAACTTGATAATGAAAGAATGGAATGTCTAAGATTCACCGTTAGTCCTAGGAGAAGCCTTATTAGCATGTGGGTTATCATCTGAGACAAAAAAGAGATAAAATATCACACTTTTTTGAGAAGAAAACCACAGCCACTCTTGCTTCTTTGTTAACTCTCATATTTTCCACAATAAGAATTTCAAAGAGTAAAAAAATTACTCAATTCCTGTATACTTCCTGAATATGTAAACAGTCAACAAAAAACAACAACAGTATTGATATAAAGTCATTCAATCTTTCTACAACAATTACTATGATTTGCAAAACAGATATAGATTGATATGATCTATATTCAACCCTTCTGACATAACAAAATTATAGTGTCTGTGTAGTGTAAGAAAGTGCTTTACCACAAAAATGATACTTTACAGTACATCACATTGTATTTCCTTGAAATGCAGGATATCAACACTGACCACCAATAAGGAGCTCAATTTCTAAATGAAGAAAATGCAAAGAACTTTCAAACATTACTTCTTGTAACATTTATAGATCACACTGGATTTTGACATTTTCTGTCCCCATGGTGACTGCAAACTTAAATCAAATTAAGTCATATTTCAGTTCAAAGTACAGGGAGTGAAAATCTTTCATGGACAAATATATTGAGATTCAATTGTAACTAGAGCCAACGCACTTCTAATCACTCATCAAACTCTGATATTCACGCAGCAGGAATTAAAGAGGTGAAACTGATAGCAGAATCTGATACCAAAAATCAGAGCAAATATTATTTCTTATAGCCTCACTGAAGCTACTCACCTAGAGAAGGTTAAGTTTATACATACTAATATGCTTATATCACATGATACTGTCAAAACATTTAAAAATATTTTGCAAAATCTATTAAATTTAGTACTTCCTTGTAAATACACTCTCAGTCTGAACAGTGTGTAAAACCTGGGCATTATCAGAAAATTTTTCTTTCAAATGGATAAGCTAATCACACAAAATCAAAATACTATGTAAAGAAGAAAATCTGTTCAGCCTTCAATTCCACTGCCATATTGACATCGGCGGTATATGATGCATAACAAAGTAAATAACCTATTTATTTTCTACATATGGCGCAAGCATATGAACCACAAATACGAATAAGAGTTCAGTGAAACAGCACTGTGTTACAGATATTCATGGCACTGACAGCTTTTAAAACCAACAGCAGCTTTTGCCTTCTGTTTAAAGTTCACTTTTCTTTGCTCTTCTGCATACCCCATACAACCTCTTCTCTACTTAGTTCCACAACATGTTCTACATTCACTTCCAAAGTTTTTAACAAAACATTAACTAGCATTTTGTTCCCAACATACTAGTTACCAAGAACAGCTGAAAGATAACAGACAAATACCCACAGGAAAACCAAAATAAATTAAAAGCTGAATTGTCATTGTATATTGTACCAAGTTCTGAAATTGCAGATGAAGCATGAAAGAAATTTGAAATGCACCTTTCATTACACTTCCCTAAAAAGCTGTCACATACTAGTATGTAGAAATAGAAATTGTATATGTATATTCAAACTTTCTATAATCAAGACAGTCCTTAGTTCATTACGAAACACAATGAAAAGTCTCAAAAGTAAACTTTTAAATGAAAAAAAAATTGTATTAGTATTTTAACCATTCAGAATACACACATGTATAAAACAAGAACACATTTTAATGTATGTTAATTAAAGGTGTACTATGCCATCACAGTTCAGTCTAATAAAATTAATGCAAACTGACTATCTATGTTAATGCAAGTGACTTTACATCATACAAAAAAATACAGCAATCTAACATGATTAAAAGGTCATAGTCAGCACTATTACCTATTTAAGAAAAAGATCTGCCATCTTCAGTAAGGCACAATAAGGTTCATTGAGGCACAACACATAATCATCTGAAACATTTCTTTCATTTTCACACAGAAGAAAATCTTTAGTTGTTGCTTGTTAATGAGAAAAATGGGCTTTTAAACACAAAAGAAAACCTGAATGCACACATATTACCTACTGTGAAATTATAACTAATTTTATGGCCAGTTGATTTTTCTATAATAGTTCAAGCTGTGTGTGTAATACGTTGCTAGAAAAGGCAGCAGCAATATTTACACCTATTTGATGTTAGCTTGTAAAAACCACCTCCCACAGCCACTAAGTCTTCATTGTCATTTTCAAAAAAGAGCAGCGCTCTTTGCCCAATCAATTTATTCTTAATAATGTAAGAGCTGATGAACTGTGCCTTGATATTTCTTGCACTGATTGTTTTAATTCTTTAATCACTGAACTTGTCCCACTCCAAAAGGAATTTTTCATATTGTGATTTTTGTTTATGATTAGTCTATGTAAACAATACACAGCAATTAATACAAACCATAAAATAAGAACTGAATAACACTGTCAAAATATTTGCTCCAGATTTCTTTGGCTGAATACAAACTAGATGTGTTCATGGAAACTACCATGACTTTAACAGGAATTTTAAAGCAGACAAATATGAAAGGCTACTAGAAAATTAAGGCAGTTAAACCACATATAGTAACCCACCACTCAAAATCTACTAGACTTTCCAGACTACAAATATGCTTTCATTCTCTTCTATTTGGCAGAGTTATAGCTTTTAACATGTAGCTGTGAAAGCAGAATTTAAGTAAAGCGAAGAAAAGTAAGAAGGCAAAGAGTTAGAGCCATCATAAGCTCATTATTTGATACCTTGCTCTATACTGCCACTTCTTACTGGAACTTGCGGTAGCTGTCTTCCCCTGCGACTGCTGAAGGATGTGTCTGCAGGAGGAGACTGGGTGGGACTTCCTTGTTGATGTATTCTGCAGATGAAATGAAGATAAGATAAAATAACCCAAAGGAAGAGAATTTATATATTCTTATTTTCAGACACAAATTAAACTGCAAATAGAGAAGATGAGTTTGAAAAAATTTGCATTTGATGTATGCCGTATGCATGTATTCAGGACTGGACAACTAATCAACTTCTATGGCTTCACGTTTAGCTTTTCTAACTGCCTTCCATCTAACGAGAAAAATTCTCTATCCTTCTGTTTTTTTCTGTTTTGAGAAAGTACAAGTCGAAAAACACTCAACTAAAAGCAATTTTCTAAAAATCATTTATGATTATTGTTCTCTACTGGTACAAAGACAGCACAATATGTCACCTTTATATTTCACTGACTTTCGTGTTCCCTTCGTGATGATGCCCTATTGCACAAGATCACAGAACTAGACAGCAAGCTTTTAATGCCACGGCACAATGGGTTATTTTTCCTTGAACTTAAACAAGGAAAAACATCTTTAAATGTGTGTGTATGTCTGTGTGTGTCTGTGTGTGCATGAACTGGAAAGTGAACAGAACAATGTATAAGATTTTCAGTATTTTTTACCTAAGCAAATATTGTAATCCCCTTGACTTTGGCTGAGTTGTATCTACCACTATTTCAGAGCACTTCAGCTTCTTGACTTCTTATACACACATACAGCACCTTTAACATAGTGGGCACTTTTAGAATGCTTGTAAGTTTGCATTAGTAATAGGTAGGGCCACTGGTAATAACTAGAGAAAAAGCTTAAGGAAGTAAAGCAAAGGTGAAAAGAAGGAGATTGCTGAGAGCGACAGTTTGTTAAGTAAGCCTCCTTGTCAGCTACAGTAATACCATACTAACTACTGCAGAAAAGCACTGTTTATCTACTGTGCTAAGAGGCAAGTAGATAACTTGCAGTTTTAAGTAATGCACTTGTACAAGTTCAAATTAATTTTAGCTTTCATACTACGTAGATCAACTGACTTTCTTTAAGACTGAGATTTAGCAGTCAGAAAAGGATGTGATTTCCTGCATGGTGTTGAAGCAAAATACTTAAGTAATTTTCAGATGGATACAAAACAAAACACAACAATGGAAGGACAAAACACAGCTGATTTTTTACTCTTACACTGCGTAACTATTTAAGGTCAACAGAAGTACCATCTAGATGGTGAAGATAGGCAGCATAAAGGATATGGGGAAGTGTAAATACCATGAAGAGAGGATAATCTACAGTGCCAGGATGAGTGAACGCGCCATGTATGCTCAGGAAAGTACAATACCACACTGACACCTGGGAGGCAGAACATGAAAGCTGAACTGGACATGTAATAGCAACCTTGTCAGAAGTGGAGAAGGTGGAGCCGAGCCTCCGGGCGCAAGGTGATGCACAGAGCATAAGGCTCTGACACTAGAGTGCTCACTCGACCTGGAGCGAGCGTGATGTTTTCCCCTAATGACTGGCTGTTCAGTTGTTCGTGGGGCTGGAAATCCCCTTCTAGAAAGACATGGTAGCAGACCCCTAAAACATCAGGGCCAAAAAGAAACTATTCAGTTGTTAGCTCTAGGCACACCTTCCCATGCCCCCCTCCACCAAAGAATGTCACAAACATTGGCTGCACGGCCAGGATGGGCATTTCAGACCCAAGTTATTAATTCAGATTATAAATCCATTTCCAAAAGAATAAACTACAGAACACTCACTGCTGCAGATACACATCACTCTACTTGTGGAACTGCTGAGCACTGAATACGGTAGACCATTGGCCAAAACCCTAGCTGCATCTCAAACAGCAAACACAAGCTAATAACATGTATGAGATAAAAAGGGCTAGCACAGAGTAGGCTATAAATACCTAGTTTTAACATAGAGCATTTCTGTTTTCAAAACATACCTTCTGTCTTTATCAAAAATATTAACTGGCTTCCAATGAATGTCCCAAAGAAGGACAACTGGTAATTGCACACACACATCACTTAGGAGTCTGAAGCAAGGAATCTATTTAAGTAACTTTCTGCGGCAGAAACCGACACAATTATACAGTTCTGAAGGAACTCTGATGAAAACATCATTAAAATATGCAGCAAAACGATTAATCGTATTAGTGTAATTAGCAGCACAATGATTAGTAGTTTGATTACGTGTTTTGCAAGTATTAGACAACCTAGAACATCTCAGGTTTGGAGAGCGACTAAGTCAGTGTCCACCTGTGCCTTTTTACTAGTTCTGGGTTTTCTGGCAGTGTAGCTTTCTGTAAATGATAATATTGCATCCTTTATTTCAGAAATGTCCATAAAGCCACTCATGATATCTTTCCATTGTGGGTTTCTATTTCCTAATTTCTCCAGATTTATGAACTGTCCCTGCACACACACAGCACATCTTTCCCCAAAGTTACAATCAAAATAACCAAGGGACTGCCTAGTTTGCAATGTAAAGCTGTCACACACTTACAAATTATCCTTAATAATAACAATAAATAAATAATAATAAAAAAGATTGCATTTGAAATAACATTTACGCAGATGCCTACCAAGAATAAAGGTTTCATTTCAGGACCTACCAATGGCAGCCTACATGGAAGTCCTGCCACGGTGATACAAAAATAGGATTTGGTTCCTTTTGCTGTATCTTTCTCTTAAACCCTGACACTTTCTAAACTCCTAATTCGTTCTGGCAGTAATAGCAACATTCTTACAGGGACTGACTCCCTGATTTTACAAGATGCTCAAGATGATGGTGATGAGCTAAGATCTGAAAATGCCTGTTCTGTCTCAAATATAAATGTAATCCATGCTGGTCTAAAGAAGAAAGATCAGTTGCAGAAATGAAGATGTCTACAATATCTGATTTGGAGAATGAGACAGAGGAACAAGGATGGGAGACAAAAGCTGGTGTGTGACTGAGGAAATGAGAAGGAAGTTAAGAAGTATAGAGAGGACGGAATTAAGGAGAGAAAATTTGAGAGAAAGGACACCTTATGATAAATGACATTACAGCAAAAATATGTTGGTATCTTGTTGCTTGGTATCACTGCTTCTCCCAGAGGAAGGTAACATGACAAACTGTCACTCAACTGGCCATGGACCACAGGGGCATTCAACAGGTTCCACATCTGCCTTCCCACAAGGAAAATCAAGCTTCCTTCTCTTCAGACTGATATTTCAGTGACATCAATAAAAATAAACAGATAAATAAATCACAACAAAACCACATGCTGGCACATGTGGAACTATGAAAAACTAAAACTAAGAGTGCAGTACCAATCCAGCACACCTTTGGTACAGGGATCTACATAATTCATAGCAAGCACAGTTAACAACTGTATCATTATGTTTATGCAGCCTTAAATTTAGTATTTTGAGGGTAAGAAATTAGGGATGGATGAATATACTTCAGAACTCTGATGAATTGTTTTCACCCACTTTTTTTTGCAGTCACATTCATACAAGCATAAAATTATCTTCTATTTTCACAGGAGTTTAGCTGCTTCAGAAAATACTGAGTCTCATCTTCAGGCTTATCTCACTGAACCATTAAGGGAACTGTTAAAACACTTGTAAATTTTTGGGATATTTTTTTTTTTCCCCTCTTACACTGATTTCCTAAAATATCACAGTACTTAAGAATGTGATCTTACACGTTGAGCATGTTGAGGGGTATTAGAGGGAATGTGATAGCATGCTGGTATCTTATTCTCTGTGAGCACCTGAGCTACTTGTAGATAACATCAGTAAATTACAAAATAAAAGCTAGATCAAGATAGAAATGGATAGTAGAAGAATTACTATGGAGTCATATTTGCCATTTGACAAGCAAATTACTTGCCTGTTATCAAAATCTTCTGGCACTGGTGCAGAATTAACAGTATGATGTAATTCTAAACTGTATCACTTCAACTTGTTTAGAACTTTGCATGTCACTTCTAATAGTAGTTAATCATTTTATGGAAAACAGAAATCTACACCATATGCTGTGAAGTATTAAAAGGAAAAAACATAATTCAACATTTCCCTACACTCCGTTGTTGCCCTGTGTTCACTGTTCTTAAAATTGCTAGAGCTTACTTTTCTATTGCGGAAAATAAAAAAGGAGCTATGATGACTGACACTTTTGGAAACTTGCTTCACTTAAGGAGAAAAAGAATAGATTTTTTTTTCTTAGTTTCCCTATTCGCCTGTGAAATAGTTATTTCAGGTTGTCTTAAAAACAAACAAAAAAACCAACCACCACTTATCTCTTAATAATGACTACTTTAAGTTAATTATGCATTACCTCTTAACTAATCAACGCAAAATGGGAAAAGAATTTATCTCAGCTCAGCAATGATTAAAGTATGAATTCATTAAATTCCATATAAATTCTGTATATATAGACACTGTAGCAACATTTCACCATTATCTCCAGACTTACTCTTTCCCACATACCTGAATATATCATCAAATGTATGTTGTAACTTGCATAAGAACTGTAAGAAGCTTTGAAATATCCAGGAAAAAAAATCTCAAAATTTCAGACTTAGGCTGGTCATTTTAATTAGAAAAACACATTGCTCATGCCTCTAAAAACAATTTTCACAAATGTAACTACATGCTTAGAGGTAAAGTCATGCACTGTTAATGTATTCAGCATTAATCCCTCATAAGAACAGTTCTTACAAATTAGTTCCTTTCAGAAAAAAATATGTGAAATTTGGTTTCATGATTATAATTCACACCAGCCATACAATAATATTACTAAAAAAACACATGGGATTTTGTGAAGTATGTATTTTAGATCTTGACATCTGTAGAAGGAAGATGCACTCAGTTCAGATGCTGAAATACCAGGTTTGAAATATGAATGTACATCCAGACAGATACATTAATTCCTCCAGTCTCATATGTTGTGGGATTTCCTTTTATCTGACACTTTCTTCCACACTGTTTACACTGTCCTTCTTTAGAATCTCTTACATTTCATTTTCCTTCCCCATCCTTTATGTTCCCATGTCCATTTACTGCTTACGTTTCCATATTTTCCACCCCAATCACTTTATATCCAACTCTCATCTTTTCTTCTTTCTCAGCCTCTTGGCAATGTTCATAAAACCACTCAGCCTGCATGATTACCAACAACTGAGACCACTGCAGTCTTGGTCCCAGGAGCTCCCTTAGTTTTCAGAAGTTAAAAATAGGGAAAAATATGGATGTAATGAACTGAAAGGCAAAACTGCTGCTGTTTTAAAGACAGCAAGGACCTCAGCCTTAACTCTGGCAATATGCCTGGTCTAAATTGAAATAAACTGCTGCTGGGACAGCAGAAGCCCCAAAACCAAAATAATAGTAATCCGGTCCTTGAAGCAGTAAAAGAAAATAAAAGCTCTGAACTTTTTTTCTAGATAATGTGTATTTGCTTTGAAAATAAAATGTCTCTTTGTTATTCATGGAAGTTTTTCAATCCTCACAATGTAAACAGATGAGCCCCTTTGTTCATCAAGAAAACACCAATCTTCTGGAAGGGGCAGGATCTCACTCCTCCTCACTGCTCTTAGCTCAGCCAACACACAGGCTTAACCAGATACACACACACATGATTAAACATGTATCCCTATTTCTTCCACTTGTTCTTAAGAATTTGAGTACATAAGCATTTGCTACTATAATGTAAAAGCTGAAAGTTACAATAATAATGCATGCACAAGAAAATTCAGTGGAAGCAGAAGGTAAAGTATCGGTGTCCATATTAACTTCATGTAATGACAGCTTACAGAATTTTTCAACATCTTTTTATATAGAATTTAACATTTTTTTATATTAAAATGTGAAATTGCTAGCTTGGAATATAGGAGTGTGATAGTGTAGCTCTTTCTTTATCATTTGATCAGCTATCTCTTGAATTATTAGTCTCCTCATGTATTCTTCTCATTATTGAAGTTATTTTAACACAGACAATTTTTTTGAAAAACAAGTATGGTAAAACATAGAAAAGGGTGAGTATCATACTAATGAAATATGCTGTGCATTTCCAAATTTCATCTTACAGAGATCAAGACAGTGGCAACAGGTCTCATACTTTGGCTTACTAAATGTATGATTGCTAGTCTTTACCTCCCAATTAATCTGCAATGATGGAGACTGCCAGAAAAATTGTATGGTATTGACAACACTACAAGCAGTGATAATAAAATGGATGCTATAAATAATGCTGTAAATCATATGGCAACATGGCTTATGGCATTGTTATGCATATTCTGCTTCAAATGTAGTATTAGATGTATATTATGAACACTGCAATCAGTTTGATCATAAGAGACATTTACTCATCAATCCTACCTTTCTGTTTCAGCTGCGGAGCCTTTCCTAGTTTGTTTTTGGCTGCTATATCTTTCCACTTTTCTGGACTGCCTGTGGAATGATAAGTCAGAAAAGAAATAAACATAGAAGAAAAAAATACAAAACTATGAAGATCTCATATTTATTAACGCATTGTTAAAGTAATAACAGGAATGGCTGACAGATGAAAAGGTGACAGCTATCTTCATGAACAGGTTTGTGAATTTGGGATTAAAACAAATGGCCCTGATTAGCTTTGACTGAGGCTGATGGTGTGAAGGTTAAGAGGTACCAAAACAGGGAGATGACATTAATCCTGACTGGACATGCCACTAGCTCCCATTTCAATCATGTCTAATTAGATACAATGCTTCTCCTAGGTCTATTAGTGCTCTCTTGCTAGCACTATAACAAAAGCAGAGTAGACAGTAGGAAGAAAAAATGCTAGAGAAAGGACCAATAATATTCAAACAGAAACTTTAGGAATTGCTTTTAAATCTGTATTTATAATGCATCATGCATCATGTCATAATGCATCATCTCAGATTCAAATAACTCTGTTATTTGACGTATACTGTATTGATAAAAACTTGGCTTTTCAAAAATTTCATTCTATTAAACATTGTTAAAAGATTATGAGAAAGACTTTGAAACAAGTCTGCTTTTTTTTCTTCTGATTAATAGAAATGTATTAGAAGCTTATTTATTTATTACATTATGAAAACAGTGACAAGTCTCATGTTTCCAAATTTCTATTATTACCCAAAGTAAAGAGAAAATTTAAAAATTAGGATTTATAATTTAAATTTTAAACCTCTGATAATCACAAACACTTAGTTTTTAGGGGAAAAAGAAGTGTGTACAGTATTTCAGGAGTGGATAAAGAACGACAGTGATGATTATTCATTGTTAGATCGTGGAAAGTACCAACCCTTACTTGCACACCGCACAGGAAAGAGAATGAAGAAATAAGTAAGAAACTTGCAGTGATATAATCAACTTCTATACTGAGGTATAAAAGGATTACTGTGGGCAAAATAAATAAATAAATAAATTATAGTAACGAATAAAGATTTGAAAGATTTGGTTTTAAACCTTAGTGGTTATACAAAGAGTAACCCAGTGACTGAACTGGAAGATACGCAAACAGCTGTAGCATCAGCTTATATTCAAAGAATATAATCACAGTGTATTTTCACTGCAATATTTGATCAGCATTACAGTGTGACAGTCTGAGTCACGAAAAAGGAAAAAATGCAGAAATACATAATGTGCGTTTTCTTACATGTTTGTGATTATTTTTTTTAATGAGCAGAGGTATGCATGAATACCCAACGCCTTCCAGTTTTCAAAATAACATTTTCTTACAAAAAATAGTCTCTTGGAACAAAGATCCTTTATCACCAAACTGACTTTTCCAGATTTATTTTCTGGAATATATTCCCATTTGTTATTTATGCTTTTGCCAGGTCAAACACAAGGTAGATACACAAGGAAACATAAGAAACACATACAGCTTTAATTAAAACCTAAAGTGACCAAAGTATTTGAATGTATCGGTAGATCCACAGACTGCAGCATAATCTTCCAAACGATGCCACCCTTTTTACTTTCTGTTTGGTTTATTAGGGGTTTTATTTTTCCCTTACTCCTTTATGTCACTCAATGTCACTGTGGCATTAAGTACAGTGGAGAAAAAGAGTACATAGTGACTATTCGTTGTAGTATGAAAAAGAAGAAAATGTAATATACAGTTCCAGTGAACTGAACAGACTTTTTTCTCTGCTCTATGTTCTGTTACTGTGAGCAGCAGGTGTTGAAAGTATGATTAAGATCACAATTTTCTCTGTTTCTTTCCTCTTGCTGAGATGATGCTGTGTGCATTCTGCACAGCTCACCAGCATACCACAGCACTCGCAGTCCTAAGTGGACACTGCAGGTAGGCATCCTTTCGTGCCCGTATCAAATGTACAATGAGTGCATAGGGGATAAAAAAGATGTTCATGCCATATTTGAATTTACCTCTACAATGTACTTTATAGGGAATTAAATACTATCTATGAACAATACATGCATACCATGTACTTCTATGTAAAAAGAGAAAAAAAACAAACAACCCTAGCTATTTAAAAGTTTTATGCAGGGCATATAAAGATAATGTATAACTATAGCCAATACCTCATTTACTTGGAACTATGATTTGAGTAAATAAGGATACCTCTGTGCTGCTCCAGGTTTAGCACTTAGGTGGTCTACACTGTCCTGTTTTGGAATGCAAGACTCCAGCGTCCTTGTTCTTCACAAAATTTGGAAACATGGATGTAAATTTGGACAGAATGAGCAAAAACAGAGAGATGGTCACATGCAGTGAAGGTGAAGACATGCAATCACATACATAAACCAGATGCATTAAGGCACAATCTGCTGTCTAAGTCTTATTTCTCACTTCCCCTTCTGTTGATTTAGTCTATACACTTTAAAAGAATGTTAAAATTTTGAGATATAAGAAACTAAGATGCAAAAAGGATGAAAGTCACAATTTTAAATTTTAAACAAAGTCTTTATGCCCTACACAACAAACGGCAGCACTGTAGCTTAACAGTTGTTATCCTTCCTAAAAAAAAAAATGTCAGTATGGTTCATTAAACTAATGTGTAAACCTATATACAACATCTTTCCCTTACATTGAGAAATTTTCCAGTTTTCCTCAAAATGCAAGCAAATTTCATACAGTTTAATATTTTATTGCCAGCAGTTCTGCTATGGTAATCATTAACAATAACAGTTCAATAGTAAAGGCAGAAAAACTTAGCAATTTAAAATAAAATTCAAATCACATATAGGATTTTTTTTTATTTCTATACTAGTTTCATTTCTGTTGAAGTCATTTAAGAACATCAGAATTTGTTCATAGCTTTCAGCTTGGCATAGATATTATTAGCATCTTGGTTTATTGTTAGCTTGCAATGGAATATATCACACAGACTAATTTCTTTTTCTCAGTAAGATATATCAACATAAGATCTTTTTCAAGTATCAGTCTTAGCTCTCAGAAAGTAAACAACAAAATTTGCAGTATATTAATAATCTAAATACAAATTAAATCTGCATCCATACTTTCAGTGTAGTGAGCAAATGCTACAATTTCTGTTAAGGTTCTAAATGCAACAAATTTCATACCAAACCAGTAAGTCATTACATACACAGACAAACACAATATATATTATAAATACAGACAAGTTATTCACAGTTCATGTACAAGACACGTGCTTCAAGTTGCTTATTGCTATTAAGTATAACATAATCCACAGAGGTAAATGAAAGAACATTGCTATCAAAACTAAAATCTAGTACTCCCAAAGTGGCAGAAAAAACCCATTTCTATTTTTAAAAAAGGCCTTAAGACATCAAGAATGTCACATTCAATACTTCCTGATTTTTCCTGAGATTTCTGAAAGGCTGAATCTACATATGTGAACAGGGAAGTCACTACTCTGAAGGCTTGGCAGCTCCTCACTCATTCCTAGCACTTCAGTTCATGTCTTTCTAAACTGCCCCCCACCCCCCCGATTCATGTTGCACAGCATTGCTGAAAGAACAGGCAAGAATTATTCCAGTCAAATTAGCCTTCCCTTGGCAGTATGTAGCACTCCTCAAGTTCCCACGGCTGTACTAGAAGCACCACTGTGCTCAGCAGGTGCTTCAAGATGGCACTTAGACAAGAAGTTTACACACGCATGGCCACTAAAAGCAACTTCTCATGAACTGAAAGTATCCAATAAATATTTTTAAAATGTTTATTTTATCGAGTCTTGGTTACATGCTTAATTCATACCAAGACATCCAAAAAATAACAGTGTAAGTAAAACGCTCACCTAGCGTTCAGTTTCCATTCTTCTTGTTTCTAGCACTACTTATGCTTTCACAGTTTCACATTTCACCAATTACCAGAAAGTCTTTCACTTTAGAGAGAATTTCTAATTCTAATTTCTAATGTATAAAAAAAAAAAAAAAAAAAAACCTCTCAAAAATAAAGCTGCCAAATTCAACCCAAAAAGTTATTTTTTAAAAAAATCAAGAAAAATGCAAAGTTAACCAAACATTTGTTAATTCTTAACACTGAAGTATAGTGTAACACATCTTCATCTTTTCAAGGTTTACCAAGGAGTCATTTTTTCCAATATGGAAAGTGATTTTCAGAATAACAGTAACCTTGCCAAGATCTTTACCAAAATGCATATTATGAACAATTATCAATAAATATTATGCTGCAAACATTGAATTGGAATGATCAAAATCACATGGAAATCACGTGTAAGTCTTTCGTTTAAGAAATATACTCAGGAATAGATCTTGATTGCATTTTATATGCAAATTGGGCAATCTATAAGAATTCTGGAATGTTCTCAAATGAAGTGTGAGATGACATCTGTCGAAGTCAATTAATCTGTGAAAATATGATCTGAAAGTGGTGATAAGTAATTGTTAGTTATGCCTGTTCATCCATCAGACACTCAACACCCATAGTATCAACTGTCAATTTAATAAAAACACACCTTAAAATAAAAAAGTCAGAACTGAATACTCCTGGCCAACTGACAAATAAAGGTGAGAAAACAATCAAAATGAATGTAAAGTCAAAGAACAGAAAATTTCTACAAAGATAAAGCATTCCACGCTAATATTCTACACACTGGATGGGCACTGACTACACTAAGAAATGAGACTGCAGTTTCTCTAATACAAAACAGTGCCCCCCAAAGACTCTGTATATTGCAAGATGTTTATTAGAAGGTATTAGATAATTTCAATCTTTGATACATTCAGAAAAATTTGGCTGAGATCAGAAGGCTTTAATTCTGCATTAAGAATGGAGGCATCCAAATGAGAACCCATTTTCACTGAAATGTATTTTAATTCTAATCACTAGAATGACAAGATTTTAACATCAATTCTGATCCAGAGCTTAAAAAATGTGAAGAAAAATTTACTTTTTAAATGTCTAAAATATAGAAAGTACATTTGCAAAGGGTTAATAACTGTCCCACCAAAGGGCTCAGAATCAATGTTGC